AATGAATGGGGCCATGTATTGTGAGATTCTGAGCCAAAACCTCCTTCCATCAGTGAGAGCTTTGAAGATGAAATGTGGCTGGGTCTTCCAACACGACAATGATCCCAAACACACCGGCCGGGCAACAAAGGAGTGGCTCCGTAAGAAGCATTTGAAAGTCCTGGAGTGGCCTAGCCAGTCTCCAGACCTCAACCCCATAGAAAATCTGTGGAGGGAGTTGAAAGTCCGTGTTGCTCGGCGACAGCCCCAAAACATCACTGCTCTCGAGAAGATCTGCATGGAGGAATGGGCCAAAATACCAGCTACTGTGTGTGCAAACCTGGTAACGACCTATAGTAATCGTTTGACCTCTGTTTTTGCCAACAAAGGTTATGTTACAAAGTATTGAGTTGACCAATTTGTCATGGGAGACCCTACCAGGGGCTCTAAGTGCCCCAGACAACATAGCTCCTAGGATCATTAGGGCACTCAAACTCCTCCACCACGATAAGGTGACGGTTCAAGGAGGTACCGGCTAGATATAGTCGGACTCACCTCGACACATTGCATTGGCTCTGGAACCCGAGACCTGGAGAGGGGTTGGACACTCTACTTTGCTGGAGTTGCTCCGGGTGAGAGGCGGAGGGCTGGGGTTGGCTTTTTGTTAGCCCCGAGACTCTCTGCCTGTGTGTTGGGGTTTACCCCGGGGGACAAGAGGGTAGCTTCCTTGCGCCTTCGGGTCGGGGAACGGGTCCTGACTGTTGTTTGTGCTTATGGGCCAAATATCAGTTCAGAGTACCCACCCTTTTTGGAGTCCCTGGGACGAGTGCTAGATAGTGCTCCATCAGGGGACTCCATTGTCCTGCTGGGGGACTTCAATGCTCACGTGGGCAATGACAGCTTGACCTGGAGGGGTGTGATTGGGAGGAACGGCCCACCTAATCTGAACTCGAGCGGTGTTTTGTTATTGGACTTCTGTGCAAGCCGCAGTTTGGCCATAACGAACACCATGTTCGAACATAAGGATGCCCACCGGTACACTTGGTACCAGGGCAGCCTAGGTCACAGGTCGATGATAGATTTTGTAGTCGTATCATCTGACCTGCGGCCGTATGTTTTGGACACCCGAGTGAAGAGAGGGGCGGAGCTGTCAACTGATCACCACCTGGTGGTGAGTTGGATCAGATGGCAAGGGAACATGCCGCGTAGACCTGGCAGACCCAAACGCATAGTGAGGGTCTGCTGGGAACGCCTGGCAGAAGAACCTGTCAAGACGGTCTTCAACTCCCACCTCCGGCAGAGCTTTGACCACGTCCCGAGAGCAGTGGGGGACATTGAGTCCGAGTGGGCCTTGTTCCACTCTGCGATTGTCGAGGCGGCTGTTGCTAGCTGTAGTCGTAAGGTGGCCGGTGCCAGTCGTGGTGGCAACCCCCGTACCCGCTGGTGGACACCAGAGGTTCGGGGAGCCGTCAGGCTGAAGAAGGAGACCTACAGGGCGTGGCTGGTCTGTGGGTCTCCGGAGGCAGCAGACAGGTACCGGATAGCCAAGCGGGGTGCAGCAGTGGCAGTTGCCAAGGCAAAATCTCGGGCGTGGGAGGAGTTTGGTGAGGCCATGGAGAAAGACTATCGATCGGCTCCAAAGAGGTTCTGGCAAACTGTCCGGCGCCTCAGGAAAGGAAGGCAGCAACTCGCTCACACTGTTTACAGTGGGGATGGGGAGCTGCTGACGTCAACTGAGGCTATAGTCGGACGGTGGAAGGAATACTTTGAGGAGCTCCTCAATCCCACCAATGCGCATTCCGAGGAGGAACCAGAGCTGGGAGGCCTGGGGATGGACTGTCCGATCTTGGGGGCAGAAGTTGCTGAGGTAGTCAAACAACTACACAGCGGCGGAGCCCCGGGGGCGGATGAGGTTCGTCCTGGGTATCTCAAGGCTATGGATGTTGTAGGGCTGTCATGGTTGACACGTCTCTACAACATTGCGTGGTCATCGGAGGCAGTTCCTAGGGAGTGGCAGACCGGGGTGGTGGTCCCCATCTTTAAGAAGGGTGACCTGAGGATGTGTTCCAACTATAGGGGGATCGCACTCCTCAGCCTCCCTGGAAAGGTCTACGCCAAGGTACTGGAGAGGAGGGTCCGATCGATAGTTGAATCTCAGATAGAGGAGGAGCAATGTGGTTTTCGTCCTGGCCGTGGAACTGTGGACCAGCTCTATACCCTTGCAAGGGTGATGGAGGGGGCATGGGAGTTTGCCCAACCAATCCACATGTGCTTTGTGGATTTGGAGAAGGCTTATGACCGTGTCCCCAGGGGCACCCTGTGGGGGACGCTCCAGGAGTATGGGGTGGGTGGCTTTCTGTTAAGGGCCATTCAGTCCCTTTACCAGAGGAGCGTGAGTTTGGTCCGCATAGCCGGTAGTAAGTCGGACCTGTTCCCAGTGAGGGTTGGACACCGCCAGGGCTGCCCTTTGTCACCGGTTCTGTTCATCACTTATATGGACAGAATTTCTAGACGCAGCCGTGGTGTGGAGTGTGTCGAGTTTGGTGGCAGGAGAATCTCATCTCTGCTTTTTGCGGATGATGTGGTTCTCCTAGCTTCATCCAGCTCTGACCTTCAGCTCTTGCTGGGTAGGTTCGCGGCCGAATGTGAAGCGGCTGGGATGAGGATCAGCACCTCCAAATCTGAGACCATGGTTCTCGACCGGAAAAGGGTGGCTTGCCACCTCCGGGTCGGGGGAGAGGTCCTACCTCAAGTGGAGGAGTTTAAGTATCTCGGGGTCTTGTTCACGAGTGAGGGTAGGAGGGATCGGGAGATCGACAGGCGGATTGGTTCGGCGTCTGCAGTGATGCGGACGCTGAGCCGATCTGTCGTGGGGAAGAGGGAGCTGAGCCAGAAAGCCAGGCTCTCGATTTACCGGTCGATCTACGTCCCAATCCTCACCTATGGTCATGAGCTTTGGGTAATGACCGAAAGAACGAGATCGCGGATACAAGCGGCCGAAATGAGTTTCCTCTGTAGGGTGGCCGGGCTCAGCCTTAGAGATAGGGTGAGGAGCTCGGACATTCGGGAGGGACTCGGAGTAGAACCGCTGCTCCTCCGGATCGAAAGGAGCCAGTTGAGGTGGTTTGGGCATCTGGTTAGGATGCCTCCTGGACGCCTCCCCGGGGAGGTGTTTCGGGCATGTCCTGCCGGCAGAAGGCCCCCGGGTCGACCCAGGACACGTTGGAGAGGTTACATCTCCAATATGGTCCGGGAACGCCTTGGGGTCCTGCCGGAGGAGCTGGTGGACAAGGCCGGGGAGAGGACGGCCTGGAGCTCCCTAATTGGGATGCTGCCCCCGCGACCCGGATAAGCGGAGGAAGACGAAGACGAAGTATTGAGTTGAATTTTTGTTATTGACCAAATACTTATTTTCCACCCTGATTTACAAATAAATTCTTTAAAAATCCTGCCATGTGAATTCATGGATTTTTTTTCACATTCTGTCTCTCACAGTGGAAGTGTACCTATGATGAAAATTACTGACCTCTGTCATCATTTTAAGTGGGAGAACTTGCACAATCGGTGGCTGACTAAATACTTTTTTGCCCCACTGTATATCCTTGACAGCTGAAACAACGTTCAGAGAACGGTTGGTAGCGAAAATGGCTATTTTGTTGCTAATTTGGAGGAAATATCTAGAAGAAAGGTCTACAGAAAGTAGCTAAGGGTGCTCAGAAATGTAGCTAGCTTTGTCACTAGGCGTTAGGAACAGCGACAAAGTGGCACTGCCTCTCTCTCTGCTGCTAAAGCTACGAATAGCAAATGCTACGGGCTATGCCTGAGCGTGAACGCGCATGAAGCAGCCTGCTCGACCCGAGCATCTCTCTTTTTCTGTGATTTTACAGAAAAACAGGCAATCACAGTAACAATGCCAGGGCTCATTCTACAGGACACTGTGCGACTTTTTCGTTTGTAGCGCTCAGTTTCAGCTCACACCGTGCGTCTGGTAGCAACTAGCTGTTTTTACACAATATGTCGGACTTTTTATTGTGTTGTTATTGATGTCCGTTGTCCCTCGGGATTGCTGCAGGAGGACACGGGTATTTATGAGTGGAGGAGGAAAACGAAAGTAAATAAATGTTTTGTGATGAGTGTAATTTGACAAAACCACGGCAAACATGCTTTCGACAATCCTTGTTATTGTGAGAGAAAAAAAGAGTAGAAATTAAAACGGACGTGTGTTAATAGGGAAACAGCCGGCGAGCTGTTTGCGCATGCGCCGTGAGCGGTTCTGGTTCTGTTTGGGCCGCAGCCGCTCGCAGCGCTACTTCAACAGTTATCCTCCTAGTTTTTGTCTGGCTTGCCGGCTAGCAGAATCTCGCATGAGGGGAAAATCAGCTCAGGTTGTATACTTTTTTTTTTTGCACAGGCATTCGTTTACTGTGAAGTAAAGTTGAAGTGCTGAAGTTTTGAAAACTAATTTTGAATAAAACTTGAAGAATAACTGGCAACTCTTTCTCATTTTAATAGGTCTTTCATGTTTTATAACATGCTATTTGATATAATGGTTTACAAACACAAAAGGGTCATTTATTAGAGTACTCGATTAATCAAAAAAAAGATTCAATAGAGTACTCGATTACAAAAATATTCGATAGCTGCAGCCCTAATTACAATCAATGTATCGAAATATGATTATGATTCATTGAAGAAGCAAGCCATAACCAATTATAGTCGAATGCAGTTTTGTTTTTTTATCGCGGCACCAGCGTTAGATCCAAACTTAAAATATAGTCAGGATTCTAAAATTAACTCTAAAGTTAACGGGTAACCAGTGCAGAGACGTTAGAATAGGAGTGATGTGAGCTCTTCCGTTTGCTCCAGTTAGGAGCCTCGCTGCAGATTTGCCTTTTATTTGACTAAAGTCGTCACATAAAAGGCAGCCCTAAAATAAATCTGATTTGCCTAAAATGAGCAGTTTCAAGAAGTCCCTTGTTGTGACATCACAGTAAAGAAAACAAACATAGCACCCCCCTCACCTGTTGACCCCGGAGCAGCAGCAGCTCTGATCTCAGCCTCAGGAAACAGTGACAAAAGGAGTTGGTGTCTGTCTGGTTCTGCTTCATCGTGGTCTCTTTCCTCACCAGCAGGAGTCACAAGGGAGGTCACCGTCTCCTGCTTCAGTACACACTGCTCTTCATCCGGACTGATGCAGAGCTCCTCTTGTTTTACAATCTGCAAAGGTTCTGGCTCATCCTGCTCCACTTTCATCTGTGGAGGTTCTGGTCCCTCCTGTAAAGGTTCTGCTTGTTCCTGCTCCAAACTGGAGGTCCTCTCCTGGTTCCAGAGCTGCTGGTCAGTCTGAACCTCCACATCTGTCCTGACATAATGCAGTGGGAGTTCTGGACAGACAAACAGACCTAACAAAAAGCTGAGTCATGTGACAATAAGAAAGCACACTTCACTTGAACCATCTGATGCATCTGAAGATGTTTTAGAAAACAATGAACTCTTAACCTGTGTGTGTGGTGTGTGTGTGTGTGTGTGTGTGTGTGTGTGTGTGTGTGTGTGTGTGTGTGTGTGTGTGTGTGTGTGTGTGTGTGACTGGACTCAGTATCTATCAGACTGACTCGTTTAACAAGTCTCTGATTGTAGAACATCAGCTGGAAACGTTCACCAAGTCTTTAAAGTTTGTCTCTTTTAAACTGATTTAGTGGAGTTCCTGAAAATGAAAACTTCCTAAAATCCCTGAAATGTTATTGATTTGTTTCTCTAAAGTGGAACAAAGTTTACCGCAGACTGATTTCAGCTCAGTTGTGTCAAAAAGCTTCAGAACAGCAAACGGATCCAAGCAGACTGTCCTGAGATTGTGTCCTCAGTAAAACCACATGAGTCCCGCTGCTGTTTCATACCTATTCTGTGTAAGTTGATCTGTGGTTTCCAGCTGATCTCCAGCAGTCTGCGCTGACGATCGATCTCTTCCTCGTAGCGGACGATGGTTTTTTCAAACTCGGAGAAGATTTCTGCAGCAGCAGCAGTTAGCCGCTCTCTGATCACCTCTCTCAGAGACTGAGCGGAAGACATTGTTGCTGCAGAGCCTCAGAGGTTCCCCTCACACACCAGCACAGCAAGCTAGCGCTGGTAGCTAACAAAGAGCTAGCTCTGATAACAGCTTCCGGTCATGTGGCAGCGTGAAGGCGCGTTATCGCCACCTACTGGACTGGAGTTGGACCAGCAACAACAAGGAAGAGATGAAGGTGTGGATCACAGGTTCAGGTCAAAAGGTGACAGAATGAGACCAATAACAGTGGAAAGAGAAACTTGAAGGTCTGAGGGAAACGATCAACAGAGCAGATTTAGCTGGAATCACACAGCTGCAGGTTTTTAGGGACAAAGAGAAAACTGATCCATCTGTTACTGGAATTCAACAATCAGTTCTCTGGAGGAACAAATGATTTCATCCCTCTTGATGTTCTTAGTTCAGTTCAGTTTATTTATAAAGTGTTAGATGGGAAGAGAGACTAGAGAGGATGTAAAGCTGTTTCCACTCAAGGGCGGACGATAGCCGTGAACTATCAGGGTCAGTGTTTAATGCCACCATTAGTTCCGTTTTACACACTCCAGCTACTTTGTCCCCTCTCTTCCCTCTTAACACTCCACACATCACATCCTGTTAGCGGCACCTTCAAAATAAAAGCTTTATGTGGATGATAGGGATGTCCCGATCCGATCACATGATCGGAAATCGGCCCCGATCACGTGGTTTCAGACTGATCGGGACTCGGGCTTTACTTCCCGATCCAAGCCCCGATTCGGAGTTGGATACTGGGTTCAAATTACAGGAGAGCACCTTGGTTCTCCTTAAAGGTTGTCAGGCTCCCCTGATGCCCTTAACTTACACACCCAGAAGGAGCACAAAAGAGATCCAGTTTCTACCTATATTGTATTATTTACATGGACTCAGCGTAGCGGGGATTCTTTAGAGCAGAGCGGCAGGCAGACCGCTGATTATTCATGAACTCCAGCTGCGTTCTGCACACAGCCACAGTGTGCAGATCTAAGTGGTGTCACCAAAAAATATATAATTAACACACAGTCATTCGTGTCCGTTCATTTTCTCTCTGGTAAGTTCTGTCTGTATTTGAGCATGACGTGTGGACGCACTCGTGCAGCAGCACTCGCCAATGGCTCAGCCGCGCAGTGCAGCGCGGCGCACACTCTGCTTTTTTGCGGTCAATAGATCAATTTGATCTGCTAGTTAAAAAGTTACTTTTGAGGTGAAAAAGACGGAAGCAGGCAGGAGTTTTTCTGGAGGACTGGGAGATGCATCCCCGATGAGTCTGCCTACAGATGATAAACCACTTAAACATTCTCCCTCTCCTGATAACTTTTTGCTTTCCTTGACGTTGGACGTGCTATTGCTAGTTTACCCGTTTAATTAGAGATCCACTAGGATAAATACAATAAAGTTTATCTCACAAAATAGAATATTTACTAAGATATCACAATAGAGCTATAGACACATTATTGTGTGTGTGTGTGTGTGTGTGTGTGTGTGTGTGCTCTGTCTTCTCCATCCCCAGTGAGTCGTGGAGGATGGCTGCTTATACTGAGCCAGGATTCTCTGGAGGTTTCTTCCTGTTAAAAGGGAGTTTTCCTCTCCACTGTCGCTGCATGCTTGCTCTGTATGAGGATTGCTGTAAAGGTGACTTGATGCAATTTGCTGGGTTCCTTATATAGGACACATTATTTCTGATTGGCTTAATGAACTGTGAATTGGAATGTTTATTATGTGAAGTGCCTTGAGACAACTCTTGTCGTGATTTGGCGCTATATAAATAAACTTGAATTGAATGACGGTGGGGTTGTCCGCAAACTTGTTAAGCTAGACAGTGACAAGGGTTAATTTACATCTATTTAATGAACCATAAGACATGAGATTCCATAGTAAATATGAAATCAATCTTATGGATCTTTGGGTACTTTTAACCAGACGATTGAATCTTTTATTGCAGGGATTATGTAAACATATTAACTGAGAGACAACAAAAGAGAGAGTCACCTTTAAAACGTTTAAGAAGGTTTATTTCTAAACAATTTTAAACAAGACTAACTCTAAACTCTAAGTGAATGGACGGATCTTGGTGTGGATGAGACGTGAGATGAATGGTTTATGTGTGAGTGATGTTGTCATCAGAACTCTCGTATCCGGAGAAGCAAGTCTGAGTGATGTGCTGTTTTGCTTTTGCTATGATTGGAGTTTCATAAACACATGAGACGCCATGTTGTTGCTCCACACATACCCTTCAGATGAGACCTCCGTACAGATCCAGAATGCCAGGTCCTCGAGCCCCCCTTTGGTACCGGAGCTGATGAAACAGTGCCAGCAGTACAACAGACTAGTCTTTGGATTGTCTCAGGTAAAAAGCGACAGTTGGTTGACAGCGTCAGATGAACCCAGAGGGTCAGTGAGTTCAGCTTTTATTCTGAAAGGAACCGTTGCTTGGTTGGTAAAATGCAACAGATTTTATCCAGCTTGTTGGTTCTTTGCTTAAAAAGGAAGTCCGGGTGGCCGGTCTGATACTTCTGTTAGAATGCGGTGAACTGCCCTATGATGGCGTGGGTACTGGTTTTATCAATCTGGATGTTTTGATTTCTGGTCGAATCAAAGTTGGGAAAGATTTATAAACACCACAGAGATTATGCCACGCTTCAGAAAGGTTGGTTCTGATTGGATGAGTAAAACCAATGTGTCATGCGTTTACATTACGTGTGATCAGCATGACTAGTGCAGCTAGATTAAGTCCTATTACTTATTAAAACATATTAATCATAACATTGTCATTTCACATATTGGTCAACATTATATTACTGACTAACACTTTGTTTGATTAGCTTTATTAAAAATAGAGTTCTTTGATTTATTAAAAAGAAAGAGTTATTTGTCTTCATTCTTCTCTTGGGCTGGAAAGGAAGCAGTTAAGAAAAAAATGCATGACCTTGAGGCAGTCTCATGCAGATTAGTTCTGTCAGAGGCATCTAAGGAGAGAGGGTAAAAAACCTTTGGTGGAATAGCTCCTTCATCACATTACAACAGACTCGTGGTTTGAGTGCAGCCGTTGGTGTACAGGAAGAAGAGCAGAGAGGAGAGAACACAACCCTGAGGAGAACTGGTGCTGATGGTCAGCAGGTCAGAGACATTCTTCCCCACCCTCATTTTCTGCTTCCTGTCCGTCAGAATTGGGTCAGGCACGTTCATGTGGGACAGTTTCACTTGGAGGAGGTCTGGGAGGATTGTGTTGACCAACCAAACCTGAAACCACTGACTAAACAACTAAACTAAACATTAAAGATGTGAGAATTACAATAATAATCATTGGAGTTAAACTGATGCTTTGTGTGTTGTGTGGACTCTCATGTGACTGTTTAAACTTGACTTTACACTAAATCTTTGTCCACAGACCTCACAAGCAAAAGGCTTCTGTCTTGTATGGACTCTCATGTGTTTGTCTAAATTTCCCTTGTGTTCGAATCTTTGTCCACAGAGCTCACAAGTAAAAGGCTTCTGTCCTGTGTGGACTCTCATGTGACTGTTTAAACTTGACTTTTGGGTAAATTTATGTCCACAGAGCTCACAAGCAAAAGGCTTCTGTCCTGTATGGACTCTCATATGTCTGTCTAAAGTACCCTTTTGGGCAAATCTTTGTCCACAGAGCTCACAAACAAAAGGCTTCAGTCCTGTATGGACTCTCATGTGACTGTTTAAACTTGTCTTATGACTAAATCTTTGTCCACAGAGCTCACAAGCAAAAGGCTTCTGTCCTGTATGGACTCTCATATGTGTGTCTAAAGTTCCCTTTTGGGTAAATCTTTTTCCACAGAGCTCACAAACAAAAGGCTTCTGTCCTGTATGGACTCTCATGTGTCTGTTTAAATGTTCAGTTCGGACAAATCTTTGTCCACAGAGCTCACAAGCACATATATCTTGTCCTGTGTGGACTTTTTTGTGTACTTCAAAATTACGCCTAAGTTTATATTTTTGTCCACAGAGCTCACAAGCAAAAGACTTCTGTTCTGTGTGGACTCTCATGTGATTGTTTAAATTGCACTTGTGGCTAAATTCTTGTCCACAGAGCTCACAAGCAAAAGGCTTCTGTCTTGTGTGGACTCTCATGTGTCTCTTCAAGCTTCCCTTATGGGCAAATGTTTGTCCACAGAGCTCACAAGCAAAAGGCTTCTGTCCTGTGTGGATTATCATGTGAGTGTTCAGATGTGTCTTTTGGGAAAATCTTTTTCCACAGAGCTCACAAACAAAAGGCTTCTGTCCTGTGTGGACTCTCATGTGACTGTTTCAACTTGACTTTTGGGTAAATTTTTGTCCACAGAGCTCACAAACAAAAGGCTTCTGTCCTGTGTGGACTCTCATGTGAATGTTCAGATGTGTCTTTTGGGAAAATCTTTTCCCACAGAGCTCACAAGCAAAAGGCTTTAGCTGACAGTCAGAATTGTTGCCATCCTGGTCATCATATTCATCTTGGCTGACTTCAGTCTCTGAAGAGTTGGAATCATCTTTATAAAGTTTTAGATCTAGATTCCTGGTACGTTTTGCTCCTCCATAGTCCTCTCTATCACTTTTTGCTTTCATCTGGTCAGTGGTGCTGCTGGTTGGAAGATCTCTGTCTTTAGGTTGGTTCTGATCAAACTGTGACAACAGAACTTCTCTTCCTTCTACCTTAAACTGATGAGAAACTGCAGAGAATGAAATGTTGGTGGCATCAGTTTTAATCTCATCAAGCTGCTCCTCCTCTTCCTCCTTCATGTCAAGGGGCTCCATGTCCTTCTGGTTCAAAAGAGGCCTCAGTTCTTCAGGAGCTGGCTGCTTCATAAATCAGCACCATTTGCTGAACATCTACAAACACAAACACAAAAACATAAAAGTTGCATGATGAGATATTTTTACTCTGTTCAAGCAAGAACAGTTAGAAATAAGTAGAAAACCCAATGAGATTGACATTAAAAGAACACACAAGTCCACTGTACTAGGAAGGCAGGAGATGTGGTTCAAAAAGTTATTTTACGGTTATTAACTCATTCGCTGCCAGCATTTCTCACCGTTTTCACAGTTTTTGTAAGAGTTACAGAACGTTGCACGCTAGGATGATGTCGACGCCGAAACAACCAAAACAAAGCGGAGACTCACCTCTTACATCAGGAAGAATCTGCGCGTTTCGAGCGTTAACCGTTCTTTCATAATCCGTTGTTGAATTGTGATCGGCAGAAGCTTTTCCGGTTCACACCTCATTTTATTTTACAGCAGCGGCCCAAAACGATCTCCTAACACATGAATTTCTGCTTCCTGATCACGTGACGTGTGACGTACGTGGATGAAGATTGGCTTTAGAGCTGAGATGTTAGTTCTCACGGTGTGGGGGCTCGTTCTGACGCCCACACAGTAAAAAAAAATGCAAATGATGACTTTAATCGTTATTGGCAGTGAACGGTTGGATTTAAAATGACGACTTAAGTCGTCAATGGCAGTGAATGGGTTAATAATAATAATTAAAAAGAAGACCTAAATGAAAGAATTAATTATTAAAACTAATTAAAATGACTTAAAAACTAATAACTACTAAAACTAGAGGTGTGAATCTTCACTTGTCTCCCGATTCGATTACGATTATTGGGTCAACGATTCATTTCGATTCGATATCCCGATGCATCACAATTATTTCACATTGATTTGTTTTTGATTTGTTGGAGAATGAATCAAGTTCTGTTTGATGCAGAAAATAATAAAACATAAAACAAATTCTACACTTCCAATAATATTTAAGATGTGTGTTTTATTCTTTCTGATAATAACACCAGCAGAAGGCTGTGGGCTGGATTAGGATTAAATTACCCAGCTGATGGATCTCTTTCACTAACCAGCTAACTACAAACCTTTCCACTAACCTGTCCTGTGTGACCCTCACCATGTGACCCTCATGTCCATGCTGTCTCTGGAGGAGCAGATAGGAGACAAGTCTCCTGTAACCTAAAATGAACCAAAGCTTCCTCCCAGTTTCTCTTTAAGCTGAATTTAACATCAGTTTATCATCATGAAACAAAAGAATAAAGTGGAACAAGAACTTTTATCTTCTATTTCTCTCTCCTTTTAACTTCTCTGTGTCCCTAAATAAAAGAGACAGATGATTACACTGCAGCCGCCGTCACTGACCCCGCCCCCTCCCCAAGACCGGATCTCCCTACATTACAACAAGCAGTCTGATTGAGCGCTTCGAGCAGAAATAATAATGAAATTATGAAAATAATAACGCGTGTTTGGAGTTCTCCGATCCTCTCTCTTGTGTGAGCAGACAGTGTCTCTCTCTCTCTCTCTCAGTTGCTGTGCGAGCGAGCGGAGCGCGCCGCATGACAACCCACTCATTTAACATAATTCACGGCCCAAATCCAACAGAGCCGGTCGGGCTGATTCGGTTCGGGTTCGGTCTCAGGTTACAACTCTAGCGCTCAGCCCTGCAGTACCACATTAAGGCGGAACCACTCGGTAAATGTGGAGGACGCTCACTCTGACAGATTTGGATGCTGCGCTGGTGCCGCCGTTAAAAAAAAACAAAACTACATTCCACCATAATCGATTATGGCGTACTCTTCTACGATGCAGAATCGTTTATGTCCGCATCCTGATGCATCAATTATTTGATTATTTTCCTCAGCTCCAACTAAAACCCAGTCTGAGGCTTACCAGTGGATGACTGGGAGGTTGAATCTCAATAAAGAAAATATAACTTAATCAAAAGGTACCCCAAGTACTCGTGGCCATGCATTCAGGAGTGAAAGAATTCTTACACACGCATGAAGATGGACTACCAGCCACCACCTTCAGCTCTCAGCCCGTAACATAAGATAAATTAAAGTCACAAATAAGAAAGCTTGAACCAATTAGCTTTGTTAAAAATACTAAATAAACTCACACACACCTGTTCAGCACTGGTGGTCCTTCTACAAGACCTCCCACAGTGCTTTTTCCTGTTGCAGTCCCTTAACCAGTGATACTGCTGGAGCGTGCTAGCAGACCAAACACAACCACTTAAGGTGTGACTCAACGCCAGAGTCGTTGTTACCTGCCAGCTTGACACTGGTGTAAGAGGAAGGAACTCGTGAAGCCCTGGTAATGAGGGAAAACCCCAGCCTACCAGAGGCATAAACTTGTACTTCATGCCTCTGGTGGAAACAGACTAAGAACCAGCACCCACCCTAGATCCACATCAGTTCGCCTACAGGGCTAATCGATCTCCAGATGATCCTATCAACATAGCACTTCACACTGCGCTGGAACATCTGGAGCACCAGGGAAGCTATGTGAGAATGCTTTTCTTAGACTTTAGCTCAGCATTTAACCATTTCATTCCGGAGTTCCTGGTCCAGAAATTGTCTTATTTGGGATTTTCCAACAGTATCTGCCGCTGGATCAAGGATTTTCTCACAAACAGACCGCAGTCTGTCAGACTTGGCCCTCATCAGTCCAGCAACATCACCCTCAGTACTGGTTCTCAGGGATGTGTACTAAGTCCTCTCCTGTTCAAACTTTATACATGGGACAGTGCTCCGATCCATCTCTCTAACACCTTCATAAAGTTTGTGGACGACACCACCGTGGTTGGGCTCATCTCTGGAGGGGATGAGTCAAACTACAGAGATGAAGTCAACAGAGTGACAGTTGTCGGTCAAATGTCACAGAGATTTGACCGAATTGTGACCTTTACCCTCTTGCAATTTAACTTCCCCTCACCCCCATCCTAACCATAACCAGCTTGCGCATGCAAAGCTGATTGTTGACGCGCTCCAGACATCTGCGTCCTGAGCACGGCCACAGTAACATCATCAAATTAGGCGTCGCCACCTCAAAAACAATTTTAACACGCGATCATTCATGTCGGCTCATTTCCTTTTATGTTTTCTGTCTTTTTTTTGTGCCTGATGCGTTTCGCTGCTGTGGAGCAGAGCGCATCACCTGTTTTGTCCTCGGTGACGCACCTAACTGACGCGGCCGGCGTACACTCCGCTGTTTTGCGGTCGGTAGATCTTTTAGAACTGCAGTTCAAAGGTAACTCATGAGGTGAATATATATGAACCCAGGTAGCAGTTTCTCTTTATGACTGAGAGGAGATGCAGGAAGATAATAAACAGGCAGGACAGAAAAATAGTCAAATAAAAACAAGTTAGTTTTTGTACCTGGTGGTTGCAACAAACAGAAACCATTGAAGGTCATCAGAAGTGAGGAACAGAAAATGAAATAATTATTTTAATGTTTAGAGCAGCAGGAACTCCGAGAGGCTGAAGGCGCATCAGTGAGTTTGCGGCCGCTGCGCAGGGGGAGGGGGGAGAGGGCTGAAGCAGCTGGGGAACAGTAAAGATGCAGAAACTACCATTGTTAAAAGAAGTGTGTGTTAACTTAGAAAAAGTGGGTTGACAGTCTTACTTGTCAACTTCTTTCTCCAATGTTAAGACTGCTGCACACTGAAAAAAAGACTGCTGCTCGCGTGGGCCCCCTTGTGGCTGTGGGCCCCTGGGCCTGTGCCCACTTTGCCTATATTATAATCCAGCCTTGAACACTATAGAGACTGAACCCTTTAATTTCACCACTCGAGTCAGCAGTACGCACATGTCTGTCTGGTGCTACAGAGGAGTGGAGTCGTTTGCTCATTATGAACATGTTTCCCCGTGCGTTATGGATAATAGAAGTGAGTGAAATGTTTCAGTTTGAGCCTAAACAATAATGTGCTGTTGTGTTTGGTCACTTTGGCTTATTTAGAGATATTTGAACATTACTGTTTACTTGGTTAATGCTAATATAGGCCTCAGATGTTTTATTGCCCATTTGAGTTAATATTTGTGCACGGTGGTAAAGCTGATATGCGTTGATACTTGTTTACCTAACATAAGATAGATTTATCCTGATTTCTGTGCACCTTAAATTAGGTTGTAGGTTCAATCTGGTTGTTTGAACGATGATTCCAGCTTTATTTCTTTACCAAATAAGGTGTATATCTTGCAGCCTTATTGTATATATGTACATTTGATTATTGGTGTGTTCAGTTTGTGTTGCACACCACTTATACATCGCATGTTCATAAATAAATCATCTTAAATGTCATCCCGTCTATAACCAGATTCTCTAACCGGAATCTAGTCATACTGCTGTCGCGAGCGCGTCCCATTTGTTGGTTCCGTTAAAACCCAGTTCCGTTAGAACTTATAAGACTGTGCATCTTTCTCAGGGTTCGTGGGGATGTCGGTGAGTTTTATTGTACTAGACCCTGGTTTGGACTACCTCAATTAGAATCTGTTTCCTATTTTAAGGAGAAATGCTATGCAGTACTCGTTTCTTTGTGATAGCACACTTCCTTTTTAATTAATCCCGTTATCTATTGGTTTAGATACTAGGGCGAAGTCCGGCGGGAGGCCGTCCTCTCTGGCAATTCTTTGGGTTATTAGGATTAATTGAGTCCCTGTCAGCTTTTGTGGGCGGTTGGTAACAATAAAATGATTCTTGTTAGTTGATCAGGCTAACATAGATTTATCAATTTATCTGATTAATTCAACCTCTCAGCGCTGGCTGAGACTTTTTCACACTTGCAATCAGAGCCAAAAATAACCTACTAATGTTTTGGTTTTATCATCCTTAAGACATCTCGTTACTCGCGGGAGAGGAGGAGATTAGCTTCTTTACTTAAGGTTTCTTATTATTAATCTGTCACAAACCGTAAAGAAAATCCTGATAACTCAGGAACCTGTAATTAATGTGCTTACCTCTCCTTAAGATAGGCCGAGGCTCCCAACTTAACCTTTAAAAAAGACCTGGAAGAATCAGGGATGTGGATTCTTTTTCAAAAAGTTTATTAC